ACTAATTTTCCTTGTAGTGTCCTTTTCTGGTTTTGGTTTTAAGTTAATGCTGGCCTCATAAAATAAACTTGGGAGTCTTCTCTCATCTTAAATTTTTTGGAATAGTTTCAGAAGGATGGTGTTCGTCTTTGACTATTTTGTAATATTTATCTCTGAATCCTTTTGCTCTAAGACTTTTTGCTGGGAGTTATTATTGCTTTAATTTCACAAGTTGTGATCAGTCTGTTCAGATTTTCTGTCTCATAGTGGTTCAATTTTCAAAGGTTGTATGTTTCTAGAAATTAATTTTTTCTTCCAGATTGTCCAGTTCGTTGGCATATAGTTGTTTGTAATAGTTTCCTACAATTCTTTGTACTTTGTAGTGTCAGTTCTTCTCTTTCATTTCTAATTTTGTTTTGGGGGGGTCCCTCCCTCCCTCCATCTCTCTCTCTGTTATGAATCTGGCTAAAGGTTCCTCAGTCTTGTTTTTATTGGCCTTTTGCATCATTTCTTTTAGTCTCTCTTTTTCATTTCCCTTTCGATCTTCATTATTTTTTTTCTTCTATTCACTTTGGGCTTCATTTTTTGTCCTTTTTTTAGTTCCTTTAGGTGTAAGGTTAGATTGTTTATTTGGGGTTTTTCTTGAGATACACCTGCATTGCTATGAATTTCCCTCTTAAGACTGCTTTCACTGTGTTTGATAGATTTTGGTGATGTTGTGGTTTCATTTTCATTTGTAGCAAGGTATCTTTTGTTCCCTTCCTTGATCTGATTGTTAACCCATTGTTTAGTTATGTTATTTAGCCTCTATGTGTTCCTGTGTTTTTCAGTTTTTTTCCATTGTTGTCAAAGAAGGTACCTGATCTGATTTTAATCTTGTTAAATTTATTGAGACTTGTTTTGTGTTTTAACATGTGCTCTGTCCTAGGAAGTGTTCCATGTGCACTTGAAAAGAATTCAATGTATCAGATCTATCTGTTTAAGCATGTTGTTTAAGGCTACTATTTTGTTGATGATTCTTTTTTGTCTGGAAGAGCTATCCATTGATTTCAATGGGGTGTTAAAATCTCCTCCTGTGACTACATTACTGTCAGTCTCTTTATGTCCATGAAGATTTGTTTTATACTGGTGATTATCATCTGTTTGGTTTTGGTAAACTCATTAGAGTCTCAAGAAAAAAATATTTGTTTTATATATTTAGGTGCTCCTATATTGGGTGGATAAATGCTTACAAGGATTATATCTACTTTTTTGGATTTACTTTTTATAATTGTGTAATATTATTCTTTGTCTCTTATTATAGCCTTTAAAAAAAATCTGTGTTATCCGACATAAGTATTGCTAGCCCAGCTTTTTTTGTTTCTTTCCATTGGTATGAAATACTTTTTTCTATCCGTTTACTTTTAGTCTGTGTGCATCTTTTGGTCTGAGGAGAGTGTATGTATACTCTCTCCTCTTGTAGAGAGTGTATATATATGGATCTGGTTTTCTCTTCTGTTTGGCTACCCTTTTTCTTTTGTTTGGAGCATTTAATCCATTACATTATAAGTAATTATTATTAAGTACATATTTATTGTGATTTTATTCTTTATAATTATATCCCTCTTTTCTTTTTCTTTCTTCTTAAGTCCCTTTAATATTTTTTGTAATACTGGTTTGGTAGTAATGAACTCCTTTAGCTTTTTCTTTTCTGGGAAGCTCTTTATTTAACCTTCAATTTTAAATGATAGCCTTGCTGTGCATAGCAGTCTTGGTTGTAGGTTTTTGCTCTTCATCATTTTGAATATTTCATGCTAAACCTTTTGGACTGAAATGTCCTATTGAGAAATCATCTAATGACAACATTTTTGTATGTAATGAACTCTCTTTCTCTTCCTGCTTTTCAGATTCTCTTTTTGTCTTTAACTGTTGCCATTTTATTTATGATGTGTCTTGATGTGTGGTCCCCTTGGGTACATCTTGTTTCTAATGCTGTGCTTCTAGGACTTGTATGTCTCTTTTCTTCACCAGGTTAGGGAAGTTTTCAGTCATTATTTCTTCAAATATGTTTTCATGTCTTGTGCTCTCTCTTCTCCTTCTGGTACCCCTATGGTGCAGATGTTGTTATGCTTTATGTAGCTCCAGAGGTCCCTTAAACTGTTCTTATTTTGGGTTAATTTTCTTTTTCTTTTTGCTGCTCTGATTGGGTGTTTTCTGCTATCTTATCTTCCAAATCGCTGATTCAGTCATGTCCTTTATTTAGCCTCTCTTGATTCCTTCTAGTGTATTTTTCATTTCAGATACTGTATTTTTCATTTCTGACTGGTTCTTTTGGTTTCTTTTCTTTTTTTTAATGATCAGTGACTCTTTGTTTCAGTTCTCACTGAATTCATCCATCTTTGTCTTCAAGTTCCTTTAACATCCTTATAACCATTGTTTTGAACTCTGGTAACTTGCTTGCCTCCATTTTATTTAGTTCTTTTTCTAGACATTTCTCCTTTTTTTTGGGGGGGGGCATGTTTCTTCATCTTCCCATTTTGTCCATTTCTCCCTGTTTGTTTTTGTGCATTTGGTTGATACCTCTCAGTCTTGGTATGGTGTCCTTCTGTAGCAGGTGTCTTTTGGGGCTCAGTGGCACAGTCTTCCTGATCATCTGAGTTAGGTGTTCCAGGAATGTTCGTTGTGAAGAACAAAGGGTTATGTGAACCCTTTCTTGTTGAGTCTTGATTGATGTTGGCCTCTTTGTGGGTGTGGTTGCCCTTCTGGCTGTTTGCTATGAGCATCAGCCCAGCCACACTGTACAAGCTGCTATGTGGGACTGACCCCACAGGAGGCTCTGGTGCCTGCCAAAATTTCCCTTTGGTTGTGCTGCTTCTGGAGATAATCGGGTAATGCTCTGATATAGTCTGAATCTTGCCATTGGTTCTGAGACCTCTTGGGAGAAATTTTGGTGTAGGTCAATGTCAGATCCTGCTTGTGACCAGCCCTGGACTACCTGTTTGGAGCTGCAAAGCAGTCTGTAGTTTGTGGAGTTGTGTTGAGCCTGGGTGTGTGTGGGAAAGGCCAAGCCTGTGCACAAAGGTCAGTTTTCACCAGCACCGAATCTGGGTGCAGGTCAGCAAAAGGCCCAGAACACCCCAAGGTTTACCTCCACCTGCTTGTTAGTCTCAGTCATTGAAAGTCTCGGGTGGTATGTGAGTTGCCTGAGGTAAGTTCTCAGTGAGTCACTAGGTTGGGATGAATGATGTTCACCAGATTGATCAGGGCCAGTGCTGGGTCTGAGGCTACTCAGCAACAATCTCCCTACACCAAGGTTGTCTGCCACCTGCCAGGTGCTTCTGGGCCGTTGTGTTCAAGAGGGGTCTCAGAGTAACTAGGGTGAGGCCAGCAGAGTCCATTAGGCTCAGACAGATCAAGATTTGTCTGTGTGAAAGTGGGTGTGTACACAGGTACAGTGGCACCAGAGGGCTTGCAAGGGAAAAATGGCCTCCACCCTAGAGCCATACGACTCAGTCTCCCCAGAGTCTGCCCTGACCTCCTCTAGAGACTTCTAAAAGAATGTGCAGTACACTGGGGGTCCAGGCCTGCCACAGCCAGCTGGCAGTATTGCAGAGTTCAAGCTCAGTTAGGTGGGGCTACCAGTAGTAGTAGAACTAATGGAACTCCATAGGTGGGGCTAGTAAGTCTCTAGTGGGGGTACAGTGTCACCTGGGAGTGCAGAGCCACTCAAGTGTGCAAGACATGGGTCACTGCTGCTCTAGCATGCTGCAGGGGGAGGGAAAATGGCACCCGCCTCAGAACCACAAACTCAGTCTCTGACAACCCTCGAGTTCATCTTCAGAGACCACCAAGAAAGTCTATACAGAGGGTTCAGTCAGCTGATTCTCCACAGCGTGGGCCTGGCAGGGTTGGGGGACACAGAGTCAGTGGGGTTAGGCTAGTATGTCCTTCCAGGCTGATGCAGTGTGGATGGTAGTACTTAACCCTGGAAAGATGGCATCTGGGTGCAATGTGGTAGAGGTACTAAGGACAGGGACCCTAGTAGCTCTCTCTTCAGCTTTCTTTTTAGAGCTGCACAACTCACCTTATCTTTGCACTATTCATATCCACTTCGATTTGCTCTGTTTTTCTACCAAAGCCCAGCATAAATGTCTTAGAAGGAACTTTTTTTGCACTGGCTCTTTAAGAGGTGTCATAGGTTTCTAGAAGACCATCTAGATCTCCATCTCAGCCTGGCAGAGAGAATCCCACCCTAATTTTTACAGCCAGATGGTATATGGGCTCCTCTTCCCACTTCTGGTTCTCTGGGCTAGAGAGCCTACAATCTGGGGTTGAGACCCCATGCTTTTCAGAGGGTACCTTTGCAGCTGAAATATCCCTCTGGGTTCTAATCTGCTGCATGTGGAATCAGAGCCAGCCCTTCAGTTCTCATCTCTGCCCTTCCTATCATTCTTTTTGTGGCTTCTGTAAATCCTTTGTTATAAGACTTGTGTTTAGTCTTCATTGGTTATTCAAGGTGATTGTTTTATAATTTAGTTGTAATTTCAGTTTGGACATGGGAGGAGGGAATATAGTTTCCACCTACTCTGTCACCATCTTGGATTCCCCCCATAAACGATTAATTTAAAAATCGTTCCATTTGAAATATTTCCTTTCAGCTTTTCAGCACTGAGTGTGATACTGGCTGCGGGCTTATAATATATGACCTTTATTATATGGCAGTACATTCCCACTATATACCTACTTTATTGAGGTTTTTTATCACAAATGAATGTTGAATTTTGTCAAATGGTTTTCTGCGTCTATTGAGGTGATTATATGATTTTTATCCTTCATCTCGTTAATTTGGTGTAGCACATTGACTGCTTTGCATCTGTTGAATCAGCTTTGCATCCCTGGAATAAATCTCTAGACCATGGTATATGGTCCTTTTGATGTATTGTTGAATTTGACTTACTGATGTTTGTTGAGGATTTTTGCATCTGTGTTCATCAGGGATAATGACCTGTAATCAATCTCTCTCTCTCTCTCTATCTATCTAGTGTCCTTGTCTGAGATTGGAATAAGGATAATTCTGGCTTCATAAGGTGAGTTTAGAAGCATTGTTTTCTTTTTCTTTTTCTTTTTTTGAAAGTTTGCATAGATTTTTGTGTTAATTCTTCTTTGAATATTTAATCATCTGTAAGGCTGTCTGGACACACGCTTTGGTTTTCTGAGAGATTTTTGATTACTTGTCTAATCTTACTACTAGTCTTACGATTTTTGATGCTTTCGTGATTCAGCCTTGGTAGGTTTAATATATCTAGGAACTTAACCTTTTCTTCCATGTTTTCAGATTTGTTGGCATAGAAGTCTCTTATGATCCTTTGTATTTTGTGGTACCAGTTACTATATTTCTGTCCTCTGTCATTTTTTATTTTCAGTCCTCTCTTGTTTCCTAGTGAGTTTCTTTTCTCCTACCAACTTTGGGTTTCATTTGTCCTTCTTTTTCTAGTTCCTTGAGGTGTAAAGTTTAGGTCGTTTTTTTTTTTTAAGACTTGTTTCATGGTTGTTTCACTGCGATGAACTTCCCACTGGGGACTGGTTTTGCTCTATCCCATAAATTTAAAAAAATTTTTTTAAAGATTTTATTTGTTTATCTTTAGAGGGGAAGGGAAGGAGAGAGGGAGAGAAACATCAATGTATGGCTGCCTCTCGTGAGTCCCCCTGCTGGGAACCCAGGCACATGCCCTGACTGGAAATCGAACCGCGATCATGTGGTTCGCAAGCCTGCACTCAATCCACTGATCTATACCAGCCAGGGCTTTTTTTTTTTTTTTTTTAAATATCCCATACATTTTTATGTTATGTTTCCATTTTCCTTTGTATCAAGGTTTTCTTTCTCTTTTGCCTTCTTTTTGACCTATTCTTTGTTCAGTAGCAAATTATTTAATCTCTATACATTTATATATTTTCCAGTTTTATTCATGTAATTGATTTCTAGTTTAATACCACTTTGGCTGGAAGTAATGCTTGTTATGATTTCATTCCTCTTAAATTTATTAAGATTTTTTTGCCTTAATATTACCTATCCAGGGAAATATTCCATGTGCACTTGAGGATGGACTCTTGTTTGTAAATCTGTTAGGTTCATCTGGTCCAAGGTATCAATCAGTTAAGGCTGATGTTTCTTTATCTGTATGGATGATGTATCCGTTAATGTAAGGGGTGTTAAAGTCCCCTACTATTATTTTGTTGCTGTCTCTTTTTCCCTTTAGATCTGGCAATATTTGCTTTATATAATTTGGTTCAATGTGGATGTATAAATATTTACGAGTGTTATGTATTTTTTATAGTGAGCCCTTTATTATTTTCTATTTGTCTTCTTTGTTTATTATTACAATCTCTGTTTTAAAGTCAGTTTTGTCTGATATAAGTACAGCTACCCCAGCTTCCTTTTGGTTTTCATTTGCGTGGAATATCTTTCTCCATACCTTCACTTTCACTCTGTGTGTGTCTTTACCTCTGAGGTGAGTCTTGTAGGCAGCATATAGATGGCTCTTTTTTACTTTATACACTTAGCCTCTCTGCGTCTTTTTGTTGGAGAATTTAGTTTATTTGTATTTAATTGTTGATAGGTATGCACTGATGCTGTTTTGTTCATTGTTTTCTTTTTGTCTGTTTCTGTAGTTACTCTCTGTTTCTTCTTTTGCTCGCTTCCTTTATGGTTTGATTACTTTCTTTAGTGTATGCTTATTCCTTTATCTTCCACCTATGTATGGTACGATAGGATTTTGCTTTGTGGTCATCATGAGGCTTACATGTAACAACTTGTATCTGTCTATTGTAGTTGTTTACAACTTAAGTTTGGTTGCATTTTAAAACTCAATATTTTAAATCTTCCTGTTTTTTGTCACATTTTACATCTTTTAACTTGTGTATTTCCCTGATTACTGCAAGTATAGTGTACTACTGTGGTCTTTTGACCTTTGTATTGAATTTGTCAGTGATTAATCTACTACCATTGCTATATACCTTTCAGTGAGATGTATTGTTTCATGTATCGGGTTACTAACTGATACCCTTTCTTTTCAGTTTAAAGAACTTCCTTTAACATTTCTTGTAAGGCCGATTTAGTCATGATGACATCCTGCAGCTTTTGTGTGTCTAGAAAACTGTCATTCAATTCTGAATAGCTTTCCTGGGTAGAACATTCTTCGTTGGAATTTTTTCCTTTTATCACTTTGAATATATTGCGCCATTCCCTCCTGACTGAAAAGTTTCTAATACAAAAAATCTGCTGATAGTCTTATATATGGTTCCCTTGTGTGTTACAAGTTGTATTTGTCTTTCTGCTTATAAGATTCTTTCCTTGTCTTTAATTTTTGCATTTTCATTATAATGTGTCTTGGTGTGGATTGTTTTAGGTTCATCTTACTTGGAACTCTCTAGGTGCCCTGGATCCGGTTGTCTGTTTCCTAACTCACATTATGGAAGTATTAGGCATTATTTCCTTATATAAGAATTCTGCCCTTTTTTCCTCTTTATTTGGGAGTCCTGTCATGTGAGTGTTAGTTGGTTTGATGTTATATAATAAGTCCTATCTTTATGTTTCAAAATACTTACTTCTATTTGCTAATATGATTGGGTGACTTCTACTGCCTTCGAGCTGATTGATCCTTTCTTTGCTTCATGTAATCTGCTGTTGAACCCCTTTAGTGTATTTTTCAGTTTACTTACTATATTCTTCAGCTTGACACACATATGTCTGATGCCATGGTTTTTTTGCTGACTGTTCAGGGGATGCCCTTGATCATCAGACTCTAGTGGCCAAGGGGGAGGGGGACCCCACCTCCAGATCACCTAACTTGAATGGGTTGAAGGGCTTGTGTATATTTGTGTAATTTTGAAAGCTGCTATCTGAGAGCCTGGCTGCCAGTTAACCTGTATCTCGGTGCTGACATTCTCCCATTTGGGATGCTGAGAAGTCTTGACATATACTTAACTACTGGGAGCTATTAAAAAATAATATGCTCCTTGGATAAGCACAAAGGCTTGAGAGACAATCAGGGCAGGGTTGAACAAGGTTCATCTACATAAGGCAAGTCTAGTGCAGATTTTGATGTTCTTCTTCATTTGTAGTTTAAAATCTTTTCATACCTTTTATAGATCTTTTTAAAATTTTTTAAAGATTTTATTTCCAGGGAGAGGGGAAGGGAGGGAGAAAGAGGGGAAGAGAAACATCAGTGTGTGGTTGCCTTGAGTGTGCCCTTGGTGGGGACCTGGCCTGCAACTCAGGCATGTGCCTTCACTGGGAATCAAACTGGCAACTCTTTGGTTCATAGGCTGGCACTCAGTTCACTGAGCCACACCAGCCAGGGCTTTATAGGTCTTTTTGAGGTGGCTTTCTTCAGTCTTTGTTTTCTCACTTCACATTTGTTTCATTGGGTATAGCCATAGAGCAAGCATTTTCTTCTCCATTTTACATGAAATCCCTTTTTCCCCCAGTAGTTTTTTTTTTTTTATAGGAGTTACGTAGTTTTCTTTCCTCATTAATTATTCTTAAATGAAAAGAGTGTTCTCCAGACTTGAGTCCCTGTGTTTCAGTGTAGTATTGAAACCCCTCTCCCCTCAGTGCCCCTGCAGAGTACCCTATGTACCTCTTGTACTTTGCCTCTTTTACACACTTTTCAAGTTTCATCTAGTTACTTATGTCCTCACCAGATTATGAAGAAATAATTATGCATCCAAATACATGTAGTATGAGAACAGCTAACTTGGAGGAAATTTTATGATATAGTACAGTTACCTGATAGGGATAGCAATCTAATAGAGTTAGACTTTTTGGAGATCTATATAATTATTCTTATACAGCATTACCAGTTCGGTCTCATCTGTGTTTGAGTTGGTCAAAACTTTGGGGTCTATAAGATATATGACCAGTATTTGTAATTTTCAGGGCTCTTCTGACTTTACAATCATTTTGATTTTTGCAAATAGGTCAATGAAAAAATGAAGGAAGGTGAATTGGCTATTATTCCCATTTTTTGTGATTTTATATTTATGATTGTACTATTAAGCTAAAGTTTTAATTCATGTTACTTTGGTAAATCTTCCTTTATAAAACAATATGTTGCCTATAAGTATGAAGTTTGATTTCTAGTGTTATGCTATAGAGGCTGATTTTATTTCTTAAAAATTATAAAAATAATGAAATCTGTGCATGTTATCATATAATCTAATTTGGGAAAGCAGTTGTTTTATGATTGTTTAAATATTTTTTCCCCAGGATTCAGTCAGTTACACTTTTTTGATAGTAAATGAAACTTTTTCTTTTTTGTAGTAAAATACTCAGCTCTGTAGGATCTATTGCATAAGTCTTAGAAGTGGCAATTAAGTGGCAATGTCTCGGGAACCCACCCCACCTCTTCCTGGAGAAATGTCTACTGCTCCAATAGCAGAAAGCTGGTGTTATACACAGGTACATGTTGTTGAAATACCTTACTTTTTGTCACTTACACATTTTATAGTATTTTGGGAATATTTGAAGTACCTTGGCATAGTTATTAGACATGTTAAAAGATTAGATCATAGAATGGTTAACATGTGACAGTTTAAAAACATGAAATTTATTATGAAAGTGTTTTTCTGAATCTCTTAGGTTAAAGTAGTAAAATTTTCCTACATGTGGACCATTAATAACTTCAGTTTTTGTCGAGAAGAAATGGGCGAAGTGTTAAAAAGTTCAACGTTCTCTTCTAGCCCAAGTGACAAAATGAAATGGTAAGATTTTTTTTGCTTGGTGTTTTGTTTTTCATGTTATTGTTGGCTACTTTGTTTTCTTGTTACTGTTTCCGAATAGATATTAATTTATTATATATTAGATTTGTAAGAAGTTTCTAATAGTATAGAGAATTGTAAAGAACTATGGGGATATTGATGGGATATTAACAAATGATTTCAATATTGCCTCTTTTTTTTTGAATGTTTAAAGTGTTATATTTCTCCATATGAGCCTGTTGTTTTATTTTAGGTGCCTGAGGGTAAATCCAAAGGGATTAGATGATGAAAGTAAAGACTACTTGTCCTTATATTTGCTTTTAGTCAGCTGCCCAAAAAGTGAAGTTCGAGCAAAATTCAAATTTTCCCTTCTGAACGCTAAAAGGGAAGAAACAAAAGCAATGGGTAAGTGATCTGCAAACTTAATGAAGAAGTCTCTGTAACTACATGCTGTGACTTCTACACTTTTGCCTACAAAAATTGAGGATATTTTTCCCACAAAAATCTGCTTAACCTTAAATATTTAATTTGGTTATTACTTAATTTTACATGGCAATGCAGAGTTATAGTTTCTGTACTGTTAGTCTTCATAGACATGTAAAATTACTTTAATACTTAAAATTTATACAAAAATTTAATTTCCTCATGTTTTAAAATGACATTCGTCACTTGAAAAAACTGTTGCTGTTAAGGGCAAGGTACCTGGTTCATGCCTGCTGTATGTAATAGGTGTCGAGGAAATATTTCTCTTATCCCTTGCTACTTTTGCCAGTTAAAATCTGAAGATTATTGTGAAAGGATATTAAATGTCTTGATATTTTATCTGTAGAAATTTTTTGAATAATAGACCTGAACACTAATTGAAAGGATGTCAGTTTTTTCTTAGTCTTACGACTTGTTAAATTCACTTCAAGCTAAAAGACATTTTTCATTTTTTACCAATAACATTATTGATTTGAATATTTTGAGTATGTCAACTATCTCCCATGTGGTATAACATTGATTGTTCTCAATGTCTCAATTTGATCACTGGCAACTTCAATTGGTCTGCTTGACTGTGGAGCATCATTCAGTGAGAAATCTCTAGCATGAAACTTCACAAACCACTTTTGACACATTTGATCAGTCACAGCACCTTCTCCATGCACTGCACAAATCTTTTTTTGCATTTCAGTTGCATTTTTACCTTTCTTGAAAAAATAAAGCATGATATGCCAATGTTGCTTATTTTCTTCCATTTTCAGTATTAAAATGGCTATACAAAAATTCACCAATTTGTTAAGTTTTTTAAAAAAAATGCACACTGATAGGACAGCTGTCACAATATACCCTAACCAAGTTCTTTTGAATAAAGTTAAAAACAACTAACTAAGCATTATTAGACTACTAAGCCATCTGACAGAAAAAAACAAACGGTTTGGCAAACCCATTACCACTGATAAGATGGTCTATAAATAGCAGAAATTAATTTCTCACAGATCTGGAGGCTGGGAAGTCCAAGATCAGGGTGCCACCTTGGTCAGATTCTGATAAAGGCCCTTTCTGGGTTATGGACTATCAGCTTCTCACTGTGTCTTCATGTGGTGGAAAGGGTCAGGGAAGTTTGTGAGGTCTCTTAGAAGAGCAACATTCCCATTCTAATCTCAATCACTGACCTCTTAATACCATCACATGGGGTGTATGGCCGGCCTTTCTTCCTTCCTCCCTTCTACCCTTCCTCCCTTATTTATATATTGAATTATAAAGGGTGAATGTCGGATATTCTAAGTTAAAGAAATTAGACTTTCTACTTTCGTGGAAAATAGTGATGAAGATAGATGTCCCAGTATTTAGGCAGTAGAATTGTATAAACAATAAATAGTTTAAAACATTTTGAAATTTTGTTTAGACATATACTACAGATGCCAAGAAATAGCATGCCAAAAAAAAATTTTAAAAAGTTAGATCTCGAGTATAAGTATAATTTTTTATTTTTAAGATAGCATCAATAATGTGCTTTAGTTTTTTCCTACAATAATAGTAGGCTTTTTAGAACACAGATTGCTGGCCCAACCCCCCAGAGTTTCTGAGTCCAGAGGCCTGGCTTACAGGCTGATTTTGCATTTCTAAACAATTCTCTGGTGATCCCAGGGACGAACAGTTGAGAAGCATTGATTAAGAACATTGAGTGAATGTTAGTTAACATGTACAAAGATTTACAAACAGAGGAAGATTAAGTCAATAAATATACTTGACCCACCACCTAACCTAAGAAATTAAACATTACAGTGATTTGAAATCCAGAATCTTTTCTGGATTCTGTTCCTCTTCCAACTTCAACCCTAGGGGTAGTCATTATCTTTCACGTTTCATCGTTATTTTTTTTTTTTTTTTTTTTTTAATATTTATTTATTTATCTTTAGAGGAGAAGGAGAGAGGGAGAGAAACATCAATGTATGGTTGCCTCTAATGCGTCCCCTGCTGGGAGCTGGCCTGCAGGGAACTTGCTTGCAACCCAGGCATGTGCCCTGACTGGGAATTGAACTGCGATCCTCTGGTTCGCAGGCCAGTGCTCAATCCACTGAGCTATACCAGCCAGGGCTCATCGTTATTTTTTATGGTTTGCCAAGAACTTCTGCAAATCAGCAAGAAACAAGTGGGATATATGGTTCCAATATGAGAATTCTGTTGGTATACATATTGAGTCCGTGTCTTGGAATATTTGTTACATTTACTACTGGTTTCCCCCGCCAATTCATTTTTTTAAATGTAACACTGAATACTTAATGTTGGAGAATCTTGTTTATTTTGTTGTATACAGTTGTTACACGTTATAATGGGTATTTGAAACATTTACTTCAGACATTTATTTGTTAGACATTATACTAAAAACTGATTTTTAGATTTTTATGAAAGCAGCGTTTAGGAGTATAGGGGGTTATGTGTGAAGACCTGGGAGTGATAAGTGACCTTATTTAACTTCTTCAACAGTTAATGGGTGTTTTCTAGTTTAGTAAAACTTAAGTCAGTGGGATGGTGTCCCAGGAAACCTTAAAGGGTGTCCTGGTGATTTAGAACATTTCTTTTTAAAGGGAGAAGAGGGAAATGGGAGTCATCTTTCTAATCAGGTTCTGATGGTTGATTACAAGTAGTATGCCTATGCCCATGTATTTTGATCTTACTTTATTATTATAGGGCCTACATCTTTCCTCTCTATGAGATTTGATCTGGCTGTTGTTCTACATAGAGATCCAGAAATCTGAACGTGAGCTCATTTGATGGCCAAAGTTTGAGTAATGCTGAGGAGTGATTTATTTCTACCTTATGTGTGCATCTTATGGCACATTTATGTACACAAATATCTTTATATTATGGATATATCATCCAAGTCTTACTTATTTCATATTCATTACTATATTATCATTAACAAAAATGTTTCTTAGATACTTGTTTTATTTAAATTTCTATTCTGTTTTCCACCAGAAAGCCAAAGAGCATATCGATTTGTACAAGGGAAGGACTGGGGTTTTAAAAAATTCATTCGGAGGGATTTTTTGCTTGATGAAGCTAATGGTCTTTTACCAGATGACAAGCTTACTTTATTTTGTGAGGTGGGTACATTTCTTATTTCAAGAAACTTCATGATTATATTTAATGATAAAGCAAAAATATACACCGTAACTATATTGGGTATGTCATACAAAATAATATTGGGATAATTGATAAGGTTTCATCTGAAAATGTTTTACCAGTAAAGTCTTAGAAATTGTCTTAGAAATCAATATAGTAGCCCACTCTGAAAAAATTTGGTCATATCTCTTGTTATAAATTATATATATAGTTATACTAATGTATACTAAACATTTCTTTCTCTTAGGAAGACTATGGATACATATATCATTATGTGAAAAATTTAAATATTTTTGTCATTCCAAATAATTCTTACATAGATGGTGAATATTTTTCATATTCAGATTGATTGTATTAAACATAAAAACATTATTAGTAGTTTATCAGTCCGATCCCATACTTTGAACAGCAAAGTTCCTGAAAAAGATTGGGAAGCTTTTTATTCATTCAAGTAGTTGGTTTCTTGTAATCAAATGATGTTATTAGCATTATAAGTAATAGCATCTCAAATTTTTAATTGTACCCCTATCTGCATGTTACCATTATGTATGTTTACATATACAAATTATTGAGATTCATCTTTTGAATGAATTCAAGGATTATGTTATATTACCACTATAGCGTATAGAGAATATGTATTAGTTAAATAGTTTTATCAAAAAAAATTTACAGCAGTTGATAGTTTTCATAGCAAAGCCAGTTGAAAGGCTATAATCAAGTAAACTCAATGTTAAATATATTTCCATAGGTTATTGTAGACAGCTGAGAATTTTGGGAATTACTAATTTCCATAATTTCTTAACACAAAACATGTTAAATTTCTTGGCAAGATTACAACCTGATTGTATGCCATTATGCTGTGTTAGAAAAGTAATTGAAATAAGGCCCCAGAGACTACATAGTGCAAATACAGTGCATCTTATTTTCATTTAGACAAGCTAAATGAACTGTGTGATAAATTTGTTATGAACACACTTGTTTGGTTGGTAAGGTACATACCACAAGTGTTTTGAGCACAGCTTATCATTAAATAATTTTTAAAATAATTAGGACATTTGTTTTTAATAGGTAGATATTGTAAGAAGTATTCTGAATAAATAATCTTAAGTTTTAGCATGTTGATTTTTTAAAATCTTGTAACCTTAGAATTTAAAGGGCTTTAAAAGCTATGTAATCCAATTTAGAAAACTTTAGCTGAAACTCTTTTTGTTAAGACTTGTACTGTTAACTTTTAATATTAACTTTTTAAGATGTTTGTTTTTGTTGAATTGAAATATGGTTTACAGATATTTTCCCAAGCATGTATTGGAACCTAGCAACCAAGAAATTCAGAATGAAGGCTGAAATTAAGATTTTTTGGTATATATTTTTGAAGCATACTTTTTATCTCCATGCTAGATTATATATGCTAGTGGCCTTAAAATAGAACCCACCATGACATACATTTTAAGTCGACATTGTTCAGATTTAGTTTTAGATACCATATTCTGTACCTTTTTATCAATGTAGACATTTATACTCTGTGCACCATATTAGGCATAGGAAAGCAAAGAGTACTTTGAACAAACATTCCTCATGCCCTCCACCATATCTTCCACACCTCTCATTGATGCCCTTCCTTCTACAGCATCTCCAGCACTGCTTGCAGAAGAGGAGGAAGCATTGCACTGCTCTACGTAAAGAACTGCCTCCTCCCCCTCCCCTGCAAGTGGTGCTGTAGACAGGTAAGGCAGTTTGGTGCTACCCTTTTTCTGCAAGACATAACCTAATCTTGCAAGTTCCATACTGTGAATCAAGTAGCCAGTGGTAGAAATTTCTAACCATGTAAACAGCTCCACCCTCCTGTCTCAGAGAAACAGATTGAAGCAATTGAGGAATAAGTAGGAAAAATAGAAAATTGGTTAGATTAATTCATCTTTTGAAATCCAAAAGATTTTAAATAATATCTTACTCTACAGAACCATGCCATTTATACACAAAAATATGTCTATATAAAATTTAATTTTGTTTAGAAAGACACCGTTTTTTCCCCCATCATATTTTCTGTTGCTAGGAAATTCTGTTTATAATACGTGTGATGATGGGTGGAAGTTGGGTTTTATTCTCTAAGAAGCTATTTCATGCCAAAATGAAAAGTTGACATTATTTTTATCACCCAGACTTTAAAATAGGACACCTGTCTATGAAAGTCAAAAGATCTGAGACCCACTATTTTGTAAGATGAGTGGAATTTTACTGTAAAAAAGTTTCTCACTTTAGATCCAGTGTGAGGGATGGTTAAGTAGTTAATTAAGTAGGGTGGAAAAACTTGTAGTCGTATACACCTTTGTAATTCCTAGTTCTTGGAATGAATTTAGAGAATTGAAATTTTTTTTAAAAATAAAATTGTCATCTTAAAACTACACTAGAGAAGACCCAGATTTCTAGAGTGCTTATAGGTTATTTGAGCCTCCGCCTGTTTATCTTTAGTCTGAATTGTATTCTCAGGGTGGAGCCAAAAGCAAATTTGAAAAAGAGCTGTCAGATGAGTTTGAGGTTTTGCTTTGCAACAGTAGTCAATTTTGAGTATTGTGCATTTGCCCTTTTATTTTGAAAGAACAACAGTTTTAATCTCAGGAAAGAATCTCAGCCTTTTTTCTGAATTTTTTACTCTAGGTTCCATTCAGTTAGAATGTTTATTACATATATTTAAATATGTACTAGAGAAAAACTAAAATTTTACCAATTTCTTAACTATAATTATCAAGAAAATAATTATCAGAATTGCTTATCAGTTTTTTAAGAGATTTTATTTATTTTCAGAGAGTGGGAAGGGAGGGAGAGAGGGAGAAAAACAACAGTGTGCGGTTGCCCCTCATGCACCCCCAACATGGTCTGCAACCCAGGCATGCATCCCAATAGGGAATTGAACTTTCTACCTTTTGGTTCACAGGCCAGCACTCAGTCCATTAAGCCACACCAGCTAGGGCTGCATATCACTATTTAATTAAATTATTAATTTATACTTTATAAATAGTCCCTTGAATACTCTTTGGAGTATGAATTGTCTTAGTTAAAATTTGTGCTGGTTATAGCAAATACTCTGTAGATGTGTATGTCAATAATATAAATTCAGCTGAATTATTATTACATATATAAAATATAAATGTAACATCATCACTATTATGCCGGATAATGACACCTTTATTTTTGGATGCTTTTATTTGTTTGTTTTTGTTTTAATCATCCTCCAAGGATATATACTTACTGATTTTTAGAGAGAGAGAGAGAGAGAGAGAGAGGGTGAAATATCAATGTGTGAGAGAAATATTGATTGGTTGCCTCCTGTGTGCACCCCAACTGGGGATCAAACCCAAAACCTAGGTGTGTGCCCTGACCAGGAATAGAACCCACGGCTCTTATGGTGTCCATGGCAGTGTTCCATCCAGCTGAACCTGCTGAACCACCTGTCCAGGGCAGCTTTTATTTCATCTGTTACCTGATTTTTGCCAAATCTTTCTAATTTGAGTTAGGATAATATACAATGAATAGAATTTAAGAAATCCACTCCTAAATTAAATACTTGATCACATTTTTAAAGCTTTACTGCATATACTTTATGCAAGTGATTAAACTGATGTAGTTCCTGCTGTTTACAACTATCAAGAGAAATGCTTGATATGAACAAATAAATACCATCTATCTGTTTGATAAAAAACTGATCCCCTAACTAATCCCTGAGTATTAACACCAACATACCTGGTTTATGTATCATTAAGTTATAATGTATGGTATAACAGAGCAATCAAGTTAAGGATTAGTGATTGTTTTGTGTTTATTAAAATTTTGGAAATTATTTTAATAATTAAAAACTTTATAGAACAGTATTTATGTACATAATATTTTGGTGATTGTATTTAGAAAGCATCTTATAAGGTTTGTGATAAATACTTCTGAACCATAATTATGTTAAAGTAGTACTACTGGTTTTAAAAATATCCCCCAAAACTATTGTCTAGTACAAAGAGAGCTTAAAAAATAGAATCTGGAGGTATGTCTAGTTATATTGACTAGCAGTGTGATTTAGGACCCTTCAGTTGCCTTCTCTTGACCTCACTTTGGAAACTTTTTACCAAATAAGGGTATTGGACTAGAAGATTTCAAAAACATGCGATTCCAAAAGGTTAATAATGCAAGTTGGAAATAACAAAATGATTAATAAAAATATCAAGGAAAGAATTTTTTCTTTAGAACTACCCATTTATTCACGAGATGCATGTTTATACATCTAAATAAATGAGGACTTCTGAGAGTTAATATTCTCCAAATATTTTATCCTATATTATTATACTTTCTGTATTAGCACATTAATAGTTTGGTCCCATTTACCCACTTGAAATGTACATTTTTACATTACTACCTGTACTTATGCATGTTTTTATTTATACTTAGTCTTATTTAATAAAAGCCATTTGAAGTGTTTTTAAATGAATACAGTTATCTGTTGCTGCATTAGAAATGACCACAGAATTTAGCAGCTTAAAACAATGGATAACTGATATAGTACTTTTGTAAAAAATTGGTTCATTTACTCTGAAACATGTTTTACTTATTGAGGTACTATTTTCTTAAATTTATTAAATACAATTTGGAATTCCTAATAGCAGAACACATTTTCTTAAAACTGGTGTGTAAGATTTAATAGTGTTTTAAGATTACATTCAGTAGATAGTGGTTATCTTTAATTAGAGATAATTTAATTCATATTATATTGGAGTCTGTATAAAAGCAATGTTGAAATATCAATTTTATTGCATAGTTAATAGGTAAATAAGAGGTCTGAAATCAAACTAAATTATATTTGTGTTGTTCTTACTGTTGATTTTTTAAATAAAGATTCCATGAACTTTTAATAACTACAGTTGTTTCTGTGAGAATTCTTGCACTTTAAAATTTAAATCAATTTATATATTTTAAATTAATTTTACTAGAGTTAAAACATAGCAACAGTATTTAAAGTACTTCCCAAATTACATATAGCAGGCTATAGTTTTACCTTTTTTAATACTGTAATAATTTATTGTAAGTGTGATGTTGTATTTACTGTATAGATAATAAACTTGAAATTTCAATAGGTCTGTAGTGTGAGAAAATAAAAATGAAAACATTTTCTCTATCTCACAAAATTATCTCCTCATTTGAATTTCACATTGGGATTTATTGTTGAAAAATAGTTTCTATAATTACTTCGATAACCAGTTGTTTGAAGCAGTTGATAAATCATTTATTTCCACAGAATTATCACTGAGAAAAGATGTAGTTTGTTTAAAATATTTTTTGTATTATTTTTCTCTTTAATTTAGATTGTATCCTTAAAGTAAATTCTCAGGTATTAGCATTAGCATTTTTTATCAGGAGTGTATATAATTATTCAAATGATTTTAATCATAAATTTAAGTATAGTCTTAGTAACCAATTATTGATATGAAATTGTAAAAACGTTTTTATTACTGTCCCTTTTTTATTAGGTGAGTGTGGTCCAAGATTCAATAAATATATCAGGGCATACTAATACGAATACTTTGAAGGTGCCTGAATGTCGACTAGCAGAAGATTTGGGTAATCTCTGGGAAAATACAAGATTTACAGATTGCAGTTTTTTTGTGAGAGGACAAGAATTTAAAGCTCATAAGTCTGTGCTTGCAGGTACTTTTTACTTTTGGGTAATATAATACATTTCTTTTATAAATTTGTGCATTAAATAATGATGCTTAATCTTGTTCCAGCTCGATCCCCAGTTTTTAATGCAATGTTTGAACATGAAATGGAAGAAAGCAAAAAGGTAACCATAGTTTAAGGGCTAATATTGAATTTATGCAAATGCAGAATAGTGGAATGTATATTTTAAAACTTATGGTGCATGTTCTAAATTGTTAAACTGTCATTTTAGAAAGAAATACTAAGATGGGGAAAATGTGTTCCGTAGTAGACAAATCGGTAACATAACCTAAAGTGGGTGAATATTCCAAGCAACCACTATTTTGATGCCTATTTGGTGGGAAAATAACTCAAAAGTTTTTATCCAAAAGGGTAGTTATCCAAAGGCCTATTTTTGTCCATAGCTACTTGGGAGTTCTCAGGTTAAAAAGAATATTTCTCTGTTCTAGACTTTATGATTTCGGAATTAGTTTTTCAGAGCAAAATTAATGCCTACATTTTTTAACCCCTAAAATAAATGGATATTTATTAGATTTTAACAAAAATGACATAAATTGCATTATTATATGTCAGCTATAATCAAGATATCACCTATTTGGTTTTCCCAGTTGTTTCTCTGTCACCTGCCATCTTGAAATGCTGTGAGATTAAAGATTTGAGGTTGATTCCTTGCTGGTTGCATTACAAGTGGTCATTAGTGCTTCAACTGGACAGCTGCACAGTTTATGTGGGCTCAGCTTTATTCTTTCTGCAGAACTGGAGGCTGCAACAATATAGCAGCTTCCTTTCCTTTGAATGTTGGTCTTGGCAAGTACTATGATCAGTCAGCCTTCTGATCATTTCCAAGTAAAGGGACATTAATGATGTATCCATGGCTGTTGTCAGCAAAGGGTCAGAAAAGTTTAGTGTTGTTCAGTGTTAGATTTTAGGTTGATCAATCCTGGGAGAGAAACCAAATTTACAAAGATACAGGACTAGAAAAGGAAGTAGTCCTCTTTGGGCTTGAGTATGTGTTAAGCAAAGAGGCCAGGTGCCAGTAGATAATACTGTAACCAAGCAGACAGGGGCCCACTCGCCTGACACCTTGATGAATGACCCAATAATAATGCTGGAAAGCACAGGTTGTTATTTACAATGTTCCAACCTTGGGGGTAGGGAAGCTCTGAGCACTTCAGTTTGGAGCTCTGTTCTCTCACAAGACCTTGTACTTCCCTTGCTCCCCAAAAGGTTATAAGCAAAAAGCCCTAAAAATCCCCATATTCTTATTTTAAGCTGACTGCGTGAACAGTTCTCCATTTCCCCTGGAAGGTACCAAATTTGCCATCCTTTCATAGCAGCTCTCTCCTTTAGGATCTGGGGTACATTGTTAATCATTTTCCTTGTGATAGTCCAGGAAAGACATAAGTCTCAAGAGTCCAGATAAAGTCCAGGTTTGCACGGTGGCAGGTCAGTTTCTTGCAAGGAAGGGTCCTGGATGGCTTTGCAGTCTGCTAGAGTGGGCATCAACAAAGCAGCCTCTGCCTGCTTTCTTACTAGCCCATGGCAGAACAGCTCCTACAGCCCACATGACTCCTGTTTCCCTACAGGCAGTATGGCTCCTTCTACACTTTTTTAAGCTTCATGGCCAGATCCCCTCCGGTGGCTGCCTGCTTTATTTAAATCCTGACCTGGAGCCTCTACATGACCTTAATTTCTGACTCCTCTCACTGTGGACTACATTGTCCCAGTTCTCTGTACAGTTAACATTCCCTTGGCTGCCATCCTTCATCGGGGCAGGCAAGGGATTCTCATGCAGGCACTGTAAGCCCTCAGCTACATCACAAGTCAAAGTCACACCCATCTTCCTGGCCCCAGAGCTGGTGGAGCAACAGCAGAGCACTTAGCACAACTCTTAAACTAGCCAAGTTGCCATAGATATACAAAGTACCTCTCAGTCGCAGTCCTCCAGTTCCTTCATCCCCCAAAACCATGGTTGTGGAAGTTTTTTTCCTATAATTCTCAGGAATCTTTGTTCTGAACCCCATTGCAATACTACATGCCCTTTTGTAAAAGGAGGGGTTCTGAGGCGTAGTGAGCTCTGGCATTATCTTATACCTCACCCTTCTTTTCCTTAAAGCTGGTTATAGTATCTTAGGCCTTGTATTACAATTTAGAAATTCATCGGAGAAAAAAGTTACTTCATCTGCTCAGACAGAGGTCATAAACTGAACACAGATATATTTTGTTTGGCTGATGGTGTTGTTTTCTCTTTTTAATTGAGAAATTAGGGTTTATATTCCTACATGGTAGTGCTTGGCTGGCTATACTTATCCTCTTAGACAGACCTGCCTGTTTCATTTTTACTGGGTACCTTACTCAAGATGTCTCAGATTGGCCAAAAAGTTCATGTGCTTTTTTTCTGTAAAATAAAAAAACATTTTTCATTCTTCACCAGTAACTTTAGGATATTTTGAGTTTGTCGGCTGTCTCACTCGTGGTGAAACGTTGCTTGTTCTGAACGTCTCAGTTTGATTGCTGTCAACTTCTGATGGTCTACCCAGCCATGGAGCATTGTCCAGTGAGAAATCTCTAGCATGAAACTTCCCAAACCACTTTTGACACATTCAGTCCTTCTCCATACATGGCACAAATCTTTTTTTGCATTTTTACCTTTCTTGAAATAATAAAGCATAATATGTCCACAATGTCACTTATTTTCTTTCATCTTCAGTACTAAAAGAGCGACACAAAAATTCGCCAGTTTTGATAAGTTTTTTAAGTGCACGCTGACATGACAGCTGTCACAATAAAATATAACAAAATTGATTCGAATGAATTTAAAGACAACTAAACACTACTAGAGCCACCTTACAGAAAAAAATTAACTTTTTGGCCAATGCAACACTTACCTCAGTTTCAAAAACAGAGTTTAATCTGTATATGAGTTGTACAGATATGGGGCTTTTAAATTACTGTTGAAATTCCCCCTGGTTTATTTGCATGTATCTGTTCTTTAATTTTTTTGTGTTGTTTTCAATATCAGAATCGAGTCGAAATAAATGATGTAGACCCTGAGGTTTTTAAAGAAATGATGAGATTCATTTACACAGGGAGAGCGCCAAACCTTGACAAAATGGCTGACAACTTATTGGCAGCTGCAGACAAAGTAAGTAAATAGGTCTTAGAGAGCTGGAAAATGTCTTCAAGCTTTTGATGTGTCTAGAGAGTTCTCAAATGAAAATATCAAATATTTTGAAATACTGAATTTATACCATTTGTAGGTAGCTCTGAGTATTATGAAATAGCATACAGTGGGATAATATGGAAATGAGATTTTTAAAAATCAATAGCACATAAAAATATTTTTATATGGAAGAAAGTGAATTTTTATGGGAATTAATTATAAACTCAGTAGTTTCCACTTTATCTTTACTGTTTTATAAGAACACGCACAATAGCATATGTAATTTATTGCAATTCTCAGATAGTCTTATTTTTAATATATAGTGTCTTGCCTCTGTTTACCGAAAGGAAGAAATATTGGATATTTTGACTAATTAAATTCTCCAATTGATAAATTTATTTTAATTTGACAATATAGAAAGAAAAAACAATTTTAATTTTATGATTCTCTTTTATGGTGATGATTTTTTGAAGTAGGGAAACTACAAAAATAACAAAATCTTGAAGTCAGTAGTTTTCAGTACTGGGAAGACCTTGGGAGCTTTTCCCAAAAGTGTTGATGTCATGCCACTTTCATCCATTTATATGTGTATGTGAATGTATGTATGTGTGTATAGATAGATCGATCTCATGATATTATCATTGTTTTGCGCAATGTTAACATTGGGGGAGACTGGTCCAAATGTATATAGAATCTGTTTACAACCGCACATGACTCTATGACTGTCTCAATAAAAATTAAATTAAAATGCCATTTATATACAGTCACATCAAATATATTAAAGACAGACGTAAATAAATACATAGACATAAATGTTCAATATTTTTGCACTAAAAATTATATTGCTAAGTGAAATTGAGGTTGACCTAAATAAATGGAGAGATAAATATTATTTATGGATGGGCTAGAAGTCTCAATATTATTAAAATACTATTCTTAAAATTGATTAGTAAAACCAACATTTACTAACACCCTTTCTTTTTAATTGATAAACTTACTTAAAAATGTATGTGTAAGTTCAAGGACCTATAATCAGTAACGGAAAAGAAGATCCATCTGATAATAAGAATTATTCTGCTGCTTTAGTATTTAAGACAGTGTTTTATTGGTGACGAGATGAAAAAATAATTCACCGGAACGGAACAGAGTACAGAAATAGTGTGGGGGCAACTTTTCCCACAAGTTCCTGGTCCGCCACTGATGAAAGTAAACACTACCAAGACATGATCTGCTTGGGGAGGAGAGGTGGCCAGTTTCTCTGAGGAAAAAGGCCTTGAGCCCCTTCCTCCAGGGACTTTTATTGGGTTGTAATACACAGGAATACAGGGCAGCAAGGATCAAATATAACATTTCAAAGAAATCTGAGGGCTTAGTCTCAGTCAGTGTCTGTCAGGAAGGGGGTTTTGCAGAAACTTTAGGGTTTCCTGCTTGGACCCTTAACATGTGAATGAAAGTACTCTTAGGAGAGCAGGTTTCACAGGTTTTTGAGGAATTCCTTGTGATACCAGATTTTTCCCCAGATCCCTTCTAGCAAGGCAAGGAGCTGAACCCCTCCCCATCAGGTATTCAGGTTTAAGTGGATTAGAGCCAGGAAGTGCTTCCCCCGGAGGACACCGGGACTCAGGCTATGTCACATAGCTGGGGGGCAAGGGTTCATTGCTCACTCTTTGTTGCAGCCCCCCCGAGTCCTTCCATGAAGGCCTCCCAAGTGATTGAGTCTGGCTTAGGTTGCCTCTCCTCCGAGGGGTCTTACCCATCTCTGACTTCCGATCATGCTTTGGGGGCAGGGAGGAAACTGAGGCAGCATTCACCACCAGAAACAAGCTTTGTCTCGAATTTCAGAGATCACTCACTCATCCTTAGCCATGGGGGGTAGTTACAATTCCTGAAACCAGGCAGAGTGGTCGCCAACAAGATAGACTGTCACACACATGGATATCTGATTTTTCATGGAAGTGCAAGAACAACTCAGTAGAAAAAGGATAGTTTTTTCAACAAATGGTGCTGAACAATCAGATACCGAAATTCCCCGCAAATTGAACTTTGATTGAACTTCATGTCATATATAAAAAGTTGTGTAAACCAGGATTATAAACCCAAAGATCTAAAAACTACTAAAAGGAAACAGGAGAAAATCTTCACAATCTTGGGTTAGGCAAAGACTTCTTAACTATGACACTGAAAACATACTACATAAAAGAAAAAAATTGATAATTAGACTTAAGTAAAATTAAAACTTCTTTTCTTAAGACACAGGAGAGATCTGGTCAGCTAGCTCAGTTGGTTAGAGCATCATCCTGATATGCCACAGTTGCAGGTTTGATCCCCAGTCAGGGTACATACAAGAAGCAACCAATGAATGCATGAATAATTGGAACCACAAATTGATCTTTCTCTCTCTCCCTCTCAAATCAATCAATATTTTTTAAAAAAATTTTAAAAAGACTAAAAATTGGTGACAGACTGGGAGGAAATATTTACAAAGCATACATATGTTTGATCAACAACTTTTGTTCAGAATATATCTGATAAAGGACTTCTTATTAACTACATAAAACACTCTCAAAACTCAGTTGTGAGATAGCAGTGTTATTTCTAAAAAACAGAAAATATCTGAACACACATTTGCTGAAATAATATCAATCAAACATATCAGAAGATGCTCAACACCATTAGTCATTAGAGAAATGAAAATTGAAATTATCACAAGATACTTCTTTAGCTATCATAATACCTAAAAATTTAAAAGACCATACTAAGTATGGTCAAGGTTGTTAAGAATTAGGACTGTCATACACTGCAAATGGGATATAAAATGGCACAACCATTTACGAAGACTGGTCATTCCTTGAAAGTTTTACACTTGCCATAGGACCTAACCCACTTTTAGGTTTTTATCGAAGAGTAAAGAAAGCATTTGCCCATACATTGACTTATGTATGAGTGCTTCTAGAAGCTTTCTTTGCAGTAGCTAAAAACTGGAAGCATCCAAATGTTCATTAACAGATGAATGGATAAAACAAATGTGGCGTGTTTATATATACAGTGGTATACTCAGCAATAAAGAGCATTGAATTTTTGATACACAGACAACAACATGTATGAATCTCAAAATAATTACACTTTGTTGAAGAAGCCAGTGGAAAATGAGTACAAATTGTATGATTTGAATTGTGGAAGATTCCACAAAGTATCAAGTATAGCAGAAGAAGGTTGAGTTGTGGCAACATGCAATGTATTGGTTAGTAGAGAAGAGAACTATACTCATTAGGAGTATTTAGTTGTAAGTTTGTTTGTTTTTAGAGGGGAAAAGAGGAAGAAAAAAGGAGAGAAACATCAATGTGTGAAAGGCATCAGTCCACTGCTTCTCACACAGCCTCAACTGGGGAGCTAGCCTGCAACCTAGGCATGTGCCCTGACTGGGAATTGAACTGGCAACCTTTCGGTTTGCAGGCCAGCACTCAATCCATTGAGCCACACCAGCCAAGGCAATAAGTTTGTTTGTTTTTAAAGAACAAAACCCTATTTTTAAAATACACAGTATTTTGCACTATGGAAATTGAAATTTCCTAAAGAAAAAATTTTTTTTTCTCTTGAATGTACTCATTTGTATTTTTTTCATATTAGGTTAAAAATAATTTAGAGAATTTTAAGTTACTCTCAGTTCAAAGTATAATGTGCTGTAACTTTATTTCTAATAACCAGTATTATGTATTTAAAAGTTGGTAGTTTGAGTAAATGTTTAATGGTTATGTTTTTCTTTTGGATAGTATGCACTGGAACGGCTGAAGGTCATGTGTGAAGAAGCTTTGTGTAGTAACCTTTCAGTAGAAAATGTTGCTGATACCCTTGTCCTTGCAGATTTGCACAGTGCAGAACAGTTGAAAGCACAAGCCATAGACTTTATTAATAGGTAAGGTATGCTTGTATTTCAGTGAGCATGACACCTTCAACTTTTTTCACTGGACTTTTTTGTAAGTGTCTTTAAATCTTCAATGCAGGTGCAGTGTACTTCGACAGCTTGGGTGTAAAGATGGGAAAAACTGGAACAGCAAGTAAGATGACATCAGTTTCTGACCTAAAGTTGATCTTCTTACATTAAATTGTCTGCATAGCCTTTTGTTCATCTACAATATGTAGGAATCCAAATATTAGTTATATGGAGCAAACAGCTGATTATTTAAAAAAAATAATAATGGGACTAACATGGTGGATTCTTGAGGCTATGCCTCCTTGTAGATCAGCTGTGAATGTGAACTGGGATAGATGCTCTAATTTCTTTAGCACATAGGCTCACATACTATATAGCTGAGTCCAGCTATTTCAGTGGCTACTAGAGACCCTTTTCTTGTCCCTGATGCATTTCTAAAAATACAGAAAATAGTCATTTTTATCCTATGAGTAATGTACCTCTAGATTTGCCTAAAAAGTCATTATATTTGGATGCAGGCAGCGCATTACTTCTTAGGATAGCCAAGTACTTTGTATTGAATGCTATTTAAGCCAACTGCCTCATATCCAAAAATGGGAATAATTTGCTCTTCACTTTCCCTGGTAAACTATAAGAGGTAGCGTAGTTATATCTTTTCTAAACCCAGACCTTTTGAATATAAACTGATAGAACTTATTCCCTTTTTGTTTTCTTCTGTCATTTTTACAGATACTCTTCTACTCTTTATAATTATTCAAAATAAAAAGGTAGGGTTGATAGGTTGAAATTTGCATCTTTTGATTTTTTTTGTTTGTAAACCCCTAAATTCCATTTTTTGCATATTACAAAAGTTGATAGAAGGATGTTAAAAAAAATTTTAAAAGCCACTGGTGGAGACATTAAAATGAGTGTTGTCGGCTTAATTATTTCCCATTGTTTAATCTGTTTCGGTATATGTGAAGTTAACTGAATTCCTATCAGTTTGTGAATTCTCCTTTCTTAAAGTAAAAGTTAATGACTGCTTATAATTTGTTGGTTGTTATGTATATTTGTCAGTATCTGATTATGTTATCATTACAGTATATGATCTAGATAAAAATCAGTTTAAATTTAAAATACAATGAATAAGCAGCAAATGACAATTTTATAATCCTTTGTACTAGGTCACTTTCAAGCTCTAGTTTTATTCTGTTAAGAAAATATTTTACATTATATAGCTTTTTCAATGTGAAAAAAAATCAGTGCATTTTATATCCCCTGAAGAATCTGTTGTATGTACAACAGTAGATGTACATACAACATCAGTAGATATTTGTTAAATAAATGAAAATGTCAGATATCTTGAGGGATATCTATGTGATTCTAAACAACTAGTTGAAACATAATGACACACTGATAATCTTATATTAGGTAAATTAAAAAGTTGTTTTATTATTAGCTACTGTTTAGTTCAACAAACGTTTACTTAGTATCTGTTGTATCTCAGACCCCATGCTAATGTGCTGCCTGTAAAGAACAGTTATGGGGAAAAATTTCTATTCTTGAGAAATCTAATGAAAGAAACAAATACCTAAACATATCATTTTATTATAATGTGGTAAGTAATGTTATAAAGGAAGCTGTATACGGAACAGTTAAGAAAGGCTGGAGGTGTAGGGATGGCTTACTGAAGATGCCAGAGGTGTCTTAAAAACGCGAATAGTAATTAGAACTAAAAGGGAAATAAAAGGCATCGAAGATAGAAAGGACAGTTTGGGTCAAAGTACAGAAGCCTGAAGGCAGTGACTGATCATTCATTGTACAGATATTTATATTTACTACCCAGTAAAGATGGCTCAATGCACTGTTTTTAGTATCAAGAATATAGTAGTGAACATAGCGTATGTCTTCTCTCTCTTCATGGAGTTTATGGTTTAGCAGGAGATGATGAATAGGAATTAAACAAGTAACTAAAATAAAGTGTGATGATAGGTAAAGTATAGCGTGCCATCTGAGCATATAATAAAGGTACCTAACCTAATCTAGGGGTCAGAGGAGAAGCCTTTTCAAGGAATTGTGTGAATAAAGACCTAAAGCATTAGTGAGAGTTACCCTGATAAAGAGGAGGGGAGAGATGAAAAAGTGTATCCCAGAAAAAGGGAATCAGGTATGCAAAATTTTGGTTATGGGAAGCTGGGGAAAGCAGGCAGGGATAAGATCCTGGAAAGCCATGTAAATTAACATTAAGGCTTTTAAAGGCATTATTCAAAGAGTAATCTAGTAAAAGGTTTCAGCCTAGGGCAGGGCCTGATTAAGTTTGTGTTTTTAGCATTTTCTCCACAGAGAAAATAAATTGTGGAGAGGTTGAGGTGACGTGGTGATTGGCAAGAAAGGTTAAATAAATGTAAGTTGACCATTGAGAAAGTTACTGGAGTAGGTCGGGCAAGAGATTAAACTAAAACAAAAAATAAAGATACATATTCAAGACAACATAAATCAGCAGAAAGAGAGGAGAAGGAGAGAGAAAGAATAAACAAGGGCTAAAAGATCAAACTGTACATGATGTGGACATTAGCTGACTAGAAATGAAGAAGGAAGAATTTAGGGCTTAGGGAGAGACCTGTTGAGTTCCTATCTAACAATTCTGAATTTATGAGTCTTGAAACACATCCAAGCAAAAAGAACAAGTAATTGGGAACTTACCTTGTGAGAGTCTTAGGATTTAGCAAATCAGTAGTTGTCATCATTAAGTATGATAGCTAAAATTTTGAGGAACGGGGGAGATAGGGTAAAGGATGGATGGAGCCTAGAGTGCAAAAGTTGGAACTCTAAGGAAAATCCGAGCCAGGGAAAAGAGCTCTTGAAAGAGGTGGTTTGGCAATGGTAACAATGGGACTGGGACTATAGGGACAAGTGTCACATACTTCAGGAGAAAAGAATTTCCAGAAAAATTTATGATTTCAGTTGCATCCAGAAATACTAGTAAGGTGAAGGTGATAATTTAATGAATTTTAGTGGTTCGGATACATACATAAGCAGTGTTCAAAACATTTAAAAACCCATAAATTAAAAAAATTGACAGTGCAACAATGGATTTTGAAATATACTTTTTAATAAACACCTCCTAATTTTGTTTTTCAGCCAAGCAACAGACATAATGGAAACATCAGGGTGGAAGTCCATGATTCAGTCTCACCCTCATTTAGTAGCAGAAGCCTTCCGAGCACTAGCATCTGCACAGTGTCCACAGTTTGGCATTCCACGCAAACGGCTAAAACAGTCTTGAAATCGTCCATGAACTGTAGAAAAAGAAATGGAATAGACTTTTATTCCTCCAGGTCCAGAAGGATTCTAATAGACAAACCATAAGCAAGAGTTGTTGCTGTTGTCTTGTCCACAGAACAGAAGCTGAAAAAGCATATTGCTTGCGTTTCAGGTGGATAATTTATGGTTTATTCTTCAGCTTTAAATTAGACTGACTATACTCTAATTCACTTCAAGGCCTTAAATTATCTCCAATGACTTCTCTTGTTCATGTAATACTTTTAAGTTTTTATTGTGCCTTGTCATTTTGACCAAGGCTATGCAGGATTGCACTAGCTCCGTAATGCAGTAATATTGATAACTGAAGATACTATGTTTCAAAAGGATCTTCCATTAGTTTAAGAAAAGCAAAATTTCATAGCGTTTGTGTTGTGCTATCTCAAAGTTTAAAATTAGGTTATCCCTAAAAGCACTTGCATTAGAGATAACTGTTAATGTCTCCAGTCTAAGTTCTGTAAACACAGGAGAACCTGCTTACCTTCAGAGTAAGTTCTGACAATACACTGTTCAGTTCTAATTTATTTTGCATTTCATGGGGCAAATATGCAATGAGTTGGCCCTAATTTTTAGGAAAATCTGTGATGTTTGTTTGTTAACTGTTCAGCGAACTAAGAGAAGCATAACAAACCTTTTCTTGGTGGGTTTATCCAAGTTTACAATTACTGAGAACTGGTTGAGGTTAAGATTTCAATAAGAAGAAAGCGTCTTTTGTGCTGGATTAATTTTTTTTTAATTTATAGTGACCTACATTTATATGAAGAATTCTGTACATGTTAGAAGTAAGGATGACCAAATGTAAATTTAACGAGTGGGCCAATTAAGAAAGATATATATGCACTTTTAATGTGTAACTTTTGTATGCTGAATGGTACATATATTTTTTTGCTTTTGAGGAAATTAATAAGGTATAATTAATTGTGTCTTAACTTTTGAAAGAATTTTTTAAGACAGATGGAGGTAACTGGGCAGTTTGTGATAATAGTTAAGAAAGATATACTTCATTATAGTTAAATTGGTTTTGATTTCAGATAATTATTGCTGAATTTACTCCTTTTTTATCACACTTTGGAGAAGGCAGCTGAACAATAAATGAATCCTGGACAGTCTACCATTCTAAAAACAACAGACTGATGATATTGGCAGAGTAAAGGAGAGAACCCTTAGAAATATGTCAGGTCACACTCTGAAACTCCACCCCCCCGCCCCCACACCTAGTTTTCTCCTTTCTGTTTCAGTTACTGTACTAACATGGATGATACTGAAATTCTGCATAATGTGAACAGGATAAACTATTTATAAATTGCTTTTCATGGGCCAGTTCTTTATTATAAATGAATTTCAGCTTTAAACACATAACCTGTTCAGTGTTCGATAGCTCTGTTCACAGTGGGGATCTGTTCCGGAGCATTGTCCCAGAGAAGGAGCTGTCGGTGTCGGGTCACTGCGTCTGATTCCTGAAACAGTGACCGTGCACTTAGGCAAGATTCGTATTTGATCACAGAGGAAAAGTGTGTCACTGGGAAAGGGTACACAAACCTATATACTTGCATATATTACTTTAGTCCCTAGATTCAAATATGTATAATTTGTTTATTTAGTTTTTGAATTTAGGATAAAAAGAAAAAATAAGCCTGAGGTTTCAAAATAGATTTTTGGGGTTATCTCTTTGTTAGGTATTCACTGAAGCAGTTCTAATACAGCAAGAGTGATTAACATTTACATTGAACAACACTGTCTAATAGGCACTTGTGATCTATAACAAACTGCAATTTGGAAAGATCTTGTTTTTTCAGATATCTTTATTCCTTTCTGTGTGGTTTCATTCAGTCTTTGTTTTGTTAACTTACATTTGAAATTGGAAGAGTCCCTTGAGAGAAGGAAGATTGTTACATGTTAATGGACTCCATCCTATGTAGCCCTACTATAGGGAGCAGAAATTCACTTTCTTAAGTTCACCATAAGATTGAATTCATTAAATTTACAATGTACAATTTAAAAAATACACACACATACCATATACACTACGATTTTACTTTAAAATTTTGTTAAGAAAACAAAAACTCCTATAGAATTTTTTTGTCGTATATCAAAAAAATACTGGTATGCCCACTTATATCGAACATGCACAGGCACAGTGTGAATTCACGGCTTGAAACGTGCCTGGTCAGAATCCACACGTCTGGCCTTAGTGACTTCAGTAATAACAACATATAACGAACATTTCAGCTCGCCCTCACTTGTTTTTATGTTTATTGCAAATCTTAGGGATTTTATTGTAAGTACTTTTTATTAGTTCGATAGCACATTCCGTACCAAAAATGTCAAACACTGTGCTGTAAGAATATCCATGTTTGTAGAAATGTCCACTTTTCAGATAATATAATGCCTACCTTTATACTAACAGGATCATATGGTAGTTGATTTATTTTTTTTTATTTATTATGTTATATTTTTGGTATTGTAGGTTCTTGAGGCAGTGATACAAAAAAAACAAAACTGTGTTCCGACATAAGTGCTCTAACAGCCCTTTTCTTCACTTTGAAAAGATGTTGTTTTCAACAGGTACAGGTTCTGTCCAGAGCAGCCTTGCCTTTTGATTATCAGCCTGCTCTTCTTTCCCTTTCGTCATCTAAATGGAACTTTTTCTTCAAAAGTAGTGAGTTTTCAACATTACATATAACAAAAGTAACCATTAGAAAACCGTTCTTTAGATTCAGATAGGGAAACACACTGTATTTGTGCCTTTTTCATTTTGGAATTTTAATGTGTAGACTGGTATTTGGAGCACAAATATGAAGGTGCCATAATACTATGGCTGCCATTGTTACCTCCTTGAATACTCGTGTGTCATTGTCTCAAAATAGTCATTGGAGAACCTTGCATGTATTACCTGGTTATTTGGACATCAGTGTGCGCGTGTGCGTGCATGTGTGTGTGAGTGTATATGTATTGTACTTATTTTCACTTGGACTTGTGTGTGGTATATTCAACACAGTGAATTTCTGAAAATAGGACTCAGTTAAATGTTGGAAGTTCAGGCTAGTTGAAATATTTCACTTAATTAAATGTGCTTTATTTCGGGGGATATTGATTGACAGAGGAAATAATAATTGTCAAAAATGTGACCAATTTAGTGCATGACAAAGTAGTGCCTTTTTAGGACATCAATTTTAAAGTTCAAATTATTAACAAAGGTCTCTTAAAAATTGTCATAGGTATAATTGGCTTTTTAAAAACTAGACCTTAAATTGCCAAAAGTATAATTACTATTTTATTTACCCATTTAATTTTAAAATGTAAGCAGGAATTCTTTATAAAATTGTGGATTATAGATGCCACCCATTGTTACTAAAATAGAACACTAGGAACTTCAGTAAGTTGTTTTGTTAAACTCACAGAGCTTTTATCATAGCCAAGTATACTTCAAATGTTCAATTATTCCAATCGGACCTTCATCCTCTTTGGTGCATAAAATAAAAATATTCATGATATTCTTGCAAAAGAAGGTGGGTGGGTGAGTTTTAGTGTGTTTTCAGATTATAAAGACAGCACTTTCACACACAACTAAGAGTATTTTGCAGACCTCTTTTATACAGATTATGAGCTCTATGTAAGTGTTTGTGGAATGATGTAAATTTTAGGTCCATTTGAATAAATATTGAGTGCCTGCCATATCCAAGACCGAGTTCCCTTTCACTAGGAATCATATCATCACATCATGTCTTCTGCGTGCACTCTGTGGACTTTGTTTGAAAAGGAATTCTTATATTTAAATTTTTTGTTAGAGTTTATTATTGTACACTGTAACCGGTTAATTTTGCAATCCAATTTTTAGAATGAAGATAAAACTTGAGTCCCACTTTTGAAAATGAAAATCTAAAATTATTTAAAAAGTAGTTCTGGGGGAAATTGATTTTCAAGTTTCAAATGTATAAATGCTTATATTGAACTTTACAGCCTCATTTTTAATCAGCTCATGTTAATGATGAGATACATACTTTTGGTATCTTGTTGCTGAAAATATTTTTTGCATTTCAGCACTTTGCGTTAAAATAAAGTTGTTACTACGTATTCACAATTAATTAGTTTATTTTGTGTTTATTTGAAAATATGAACTCTTTACCTGCTATCCAGTGTCTTGGAAACCATGTTTCATGTATTTTGTCTGTTGTGTTTTTGTTTGTGTTTGTTTTGTTTTGGTTGTTGACAGGTGGGATGATAAATCTAGACCCTGTAACTCCATCTGGGCCGTGCAGCTTTCATTAATCGGAGGTGGAAGGAAGGACTCTGCAGTGGCACATCGTCACTGCCTTTCCTTCGTTATGATGAGAATGGGAAGTGTGGCTCAGACTGTAGAAAACGAGATGGGTTTTTGTTTGTTTGTTTCTCAGACCTTAAAAAAACAGATGCACTGACACCTCAAATGGATTTCCTCTCAAAACATAAGAACGTTTTACTGGGGAATACTCATAAACAGTACAGAATGTTAGCCCAAGCTTTGTCCTGGCCGAGATTACCAATTCAAATTTTAACACAGGAGCCTGGTAGAAGGAAAGTTGCAGGCCAGGTAAAATATGTGCTGAACTGGGGAAATGGCAAGCAGTGTGGAGGTGGGCCTGGTCCAGAGTCACTCAGACTCTCCAGTGTGATGGCAAACAAGGCTCTAACTTTTGGCTCGACTTAATGGCACTGTCTGTATCCTCAACTCCTGTCACCTACCTCAACCATAAGATTGTTTTTCAATAAAATACTACCAAAAAATCTTCAAAAGTAGAGCAAAACATAATAATATAGTGGCATTATTGTTAATGAGTCCTATAAAGAGGACCCATCGTCCCCCAAAAGAAATTAACCAGGAGAATGCAAGATCACACATGAGGAAATGAATCTAATTCTCCTGAAGAAGTAAGTACCCTCTTTACTCGTTGGAGACGTGTGTCCACAAAGCTCAGCACTATACACACGTCAAGGATAATACATCTGTACTGTTTTCTCAGCAGAAGTAGCCCATTACTACAATCTGCTTCTCCTGTTTTACAGTCTGTTTTGGTCAATATTTTCTTAAGCTAGTAAGGAAGCTAACCCACACAGCATATTTGGAGAGCTGGGTCAAGATTTTAAAGATAATAATTTCTCGATTTTAAATAGCTATTGTTTGCTTTCCAGTGTCCTAGGAATTCAGTGGTAGCTAAGAGTATCATATTAGGAGTAGTAATCACATGCAGGATTCCACTGATTATGACTTAGCCACAAAGATGACTTAGTCATAAAATTCTAACTCCTGCTGCTACTCGGGGTAGTCTATGTAGCTACAGACCCAGATTATCTGAGTTATGAGATATATGTTCCTACTAATATTTAGTCTGACTTTCCTTGCCTTAAAGGACATCAAAAGATATCAACATGTAGCAGTCAAATGTAAAGTGGTGTGGTCTTTTTTTAATACCTAGTAAAAATAACAAAAGGTACTAACTGTGTAAAGAAAGCCTGTCCTGGCCGGGCAGTCCATCTGCAGTAGTCAGCAGGAAGACGAGTCTCTCCAACACAAATACTTCATAGGACACATCACTGCTGTCACAGTAACCACTGACTTTCCCTGCATTTATGGATCTCTATAAGAGGCTATGTTTCATTACTGACCTGCATTTCCAAAAGATCTTTCCCAAAATTTTTTTAGGAAGGCATTTTTTAAAAACAAATTAAAAAGAGGTGCCATTTTTCCAAGTAGGTTTGGTTAGCTCAGTGTTTCTCACCTGGTGTGCTTTTGCTCCTCCCTTTCTCCCAGGGGACATTTGGCAATGTTTAGAGGTGTTTTGGTTGTCAAAACTGAGGAGGAGCGTGTTAGTGGCATTAGCAGAAACGTTTTCTCATGTACAACAATGAACTATCCAGTGGCAGATATCAACAACTGAGACTGAGAAATCCTGTTTTCGATGAAGGCTATGTGAAGCTATTAGACTTCAGTATAAATTCCAATTGAGAAATACCTTTGATGCTAACTTTTAAAATGACATTTGTTTCAAGAAAAAAGTAACTGGCCTTATTTTTTAAAGATTTTATTTATTTATCAGAGAGAGAAGAGGGATGAAGACCAGGAGAGAAACATCAGCATGGGAGTGAAGCATGAATGGTTTCCTCTGGAACCTGGAACTTTTTGGTTGGTGGGAAGATGCCCAAACAACTGAGCTATATTGGTCAGGGCCTAACTACTAGTTTCATTTCCCATTTTTAACTAATAACCTCTTGCATTTGCTTAGCATTTTATCATTTATAAAAATCCTTTTGTTTGCTTTAATCTCACTTCTCCTCATTGCTCTGATAAGTCTTCTTTTGTTCCTCCTTTGCTATCAAAGGCACTGTCATCAGGAAGAGGCTAAGTGGGTCAAGCAAGGTCACACAGATTCACATTCTGCTTGGAAAATCCAGTGAGTGACCTTTCTGCTACCCAGCAGTTATGATATTCTTGTAAAGAACATCATATAAAAAGATTTAGAAATGTAAAAATCTAATCACCGTGCTTCTGTGGTTCATGACTCCAGAAGACAGATGTGATTTGCTCTGAGGATGAAGAGAGGGCAGGGTGTGGGGGTTGGTGTTATGGGAGGTAAAGAGCAGAGAAACAATGACATTAGTCAGGCCAAGTGGAGGAGCAGAGACAGGCTCCTCAGTTTAAGGTCACTCACTAGTCCCCTGTGGAAATCATTCCTTCCCCTCTAAATGGGGTTAGACCCTTACAAAAATATCAAATGGACAGATGTACTTAGGCCAACCAGAAAAACAGAAACCACACTCATGATTTCCAACAGAGAATCTCACAGAGGGAATCCATTGCACAGGTGATGAGAAGAATCCAGGCTGGAGCAACCAGAGGAAACCATTACACTTTTAACCAGGTGTGAGGGAAAATGTGATACACTGCCTGGGCCCAGGGCTGGTTCCCTGCTAGGTCTGCCCAGCAGGAAATGGGGCCTAGGAGCAGGCAGAGTTGCTGCTGGGGAAGGTGCCTAAGGCAGAAAGAGTGAATGTACTGGCTTCTCCCTTCCTCTGCCTTCCAGGTTCCTGACAGGCCCTTCTATTGGCCTAACTGAGCAGGAGCCTGGAAAACAGCCTTGAGCAGCTGGCTGAGAGATGGAGCTGAGGAGGGCAGAGGATGGATCTGAGTGCAAATGGGCTCAGGGCCATCACATGTCTTGGGAGCATTATGCCAGTGGAAGGACATCGTGAATTAGTTCAAAGCATCAAGAGAATACCCCAGGACCTAAATCTCCTGTTTTTTCAATTCAAGGGAAACACGTCTTAAATCTATCCTGGACCAAACAAATTGATAAGTAAAAGAAAAAACTCAGAAGGGAGAAGGAATTTGACAAATGAAGCACAATAATATTTAACTCTTATTTAGGTTACTATGATGCTTTTTAAGAACAGTGATGTATTTTAAATGGTAATTTGCAATTTTGCAGAGTAGTTGTCTTTTGTACATAGACAATCTAGTTATTTTTTGGAACCTACTAAAAACTTACTGCTTAACAGTAAAGTATTGCATATGTATGTGCCTTAACAAATGCATACCATCAATATTGAATGAGTTATGCTAATGGGATGTAACTTTAATATAGCACTTGCAGATGACCTTTCCAGAACCCTCCTACCCCTTCTTAATTTCAAGAAGCAACTTAATCCTTCGCTGCTTTCTAAAAAAGCTGGTTTGGGGCAGGACATTCCTGGATCAGCTTAATAACAGTGATAAAATTACTGCTAAAAAGTTTTGGCCAAAGGGACAGTAGCAGTACATGGTGAAAAACCTTTCATATGCCCAACACGAACATGTGTACACATAGTGAATTCCCCTGAGAAGAATAAAAGGCAACAAAACTTAAGAATGTTGTGTATATCATATTAAAATGCAACAAGTGCTCACATACCCTAAACTTAACAATCTTCTACTGTGTAGCAGTTGGTGCCTTTAATGATTAAGTACATGAGAACCCTGTCCCTTCTACCACCTCAGAATCATTTGTTTCTAAGAGAAGGCTAAGTTTTGATCACTATTTCAAAACGAAAAACACATTGGTAGAACTCTTTCACACAATATGCTTTTGCTACATTTTTTTCCTCTTGGTAAGTGGGAGGTTTGCACGCATATGCAGGGATAGTGGCAGAAAGAGTTTGTCATTCCTGTTCTGAGAGCTTCCTTTTCACCTCCTGTCTCTTGTCTTCCACCCTTAATCCTTTCATACAGGTTTCAGATATAGTTCTGTTACATCACAGCCAAACGATTACTGTAATATCTAACCTTGCCTTTGCCCAAATTTAAGACAGGTCTTAATAAATACAAGAAATGAAGGAAAAAGTATAATATTTAGGAATACTAACTGTAGCACCAAAACCCAAAAATGTCGCTGTGAACTCTACTGTTCACTTTGCTCTAATACAGATTCACTGCCATAGCTGAAGGTGTTTGGAATGTGTACTTTCAGAGTGCTAAAAAGAACTTGAGGACATGAGAAAAACTGGACAAAAATGAGGAAAATAAAAATAACATGTAATTGAAAAAGAGGAGTAAAATAGATGCATTAAACTTGACAGTCACCAGAGATGGTAATCGAAGTCTGAGCCAGTAGAAGACAGGGTTCAGAAGTGCTCGCAGATGACAAGGACGAGAATAGGGCGAGGAAAACACTGGTGACGCCGTTTGGTTTCTATAAACAAATGAAGTGCCAGGCACTGTGCGGGTCATGTTTACAGTGATAAACACAGTATAAATGTGCATATCCCCATGAAGTCCATGTTCTGAAAGAAAGTGCAAGTACACAAGTCAGTGTGGGAACTGTGCTAAAAGTACAAGAAGTGCATCCACGCTGACGCGGGGGTGGAGAGGCAACGTAGCCTTCCGGAGCAAATGCTGTCTACACTGAGATGAGGTGGAAGTTAGGAATTTTACTGGGAGTGTTGTCCAACTCACTATGCAAAGTCTTAAAAGTTGACCAAGGTTTATATGGAACACGTACAGGAATGAAATGAGCATGACTACAATCTCATGTGTAAAGGGAAGAGAAGACTAAACCAGTATGT